TAAAGTATTCATTACAATAGAGAAGGGGTGGGTGGGCGGGGCTTATATTTTGTCCATTTTTTCTTAGTATATGAAGTCTACTTTTCCTAACAAGAAACTGACAATATGTGTAACTATCCTGTTGTATAAAGAAAACTCTATATATTAAGAAAAAATAAAAAAATATTAAGCCCCACCCACCCGCCCGATGTCAATTGTGATGATTTTTTCATTCCTAATCAGATCGGTAACATCAATATTTCTCAAAAAAATTCTATCCGTTTAAAAACATATTTCATATGGCAATTTTTTATAGAGAAATGAGGATTTTGCAGCTAAAGTCCGCCCTTCAGCTTACGATGAATAAAATATTCATCACAATTGAGAAGGGGTGGGTGGGCGGGGCTTATATTTTGTCCATTTTTTCTTAATATACGAAGTCTTCTTTTCCCAACAAAACATTGAAAACATGTTTAACTATCCTGTTGTAGAAAGAAAACTCTATATATTAAGAAAAAACAAAAAAAAAATCAAGCCCCACCCACCCGCCCCGATCTCAATTGTGATGATTTTTTCATTCCTAATCAAACCGGTAACATCAATATTTCTCTAAAAAATTCTACCCTTATAAAAACATATTCCATATGATAATTTCTTGTAGAGAACTGAGGATTTTGTAACTAAACTCCGCCCTTCAGCTCACGATGAATAAAGTATTCATTACAATAGAGAAGGGGTGGGTGGGCGGGGCTTATATTTTGTCCATTTTTTCTTAGTATATGAAGTCTTCTTTTCCTAACAAGAAACTGACAATATATGTAACTATCCTGTTGTATAAATAAAACTCTATATATTAAGAAAAAATAAAAAAATATTAAGCCCCACCCATCCACCCGATCTCAATTGTGATGATTTTTTCATTCCTAATCACATCGGTAACATCAATATTTCTCAAAAAAAATCTACCCTTTTAAAAACATATTTCTTGAGTAATGAAATTTGTTTCACATATTCTTGAGTATGAAATGAATTTCTTGCAGAAAAACAAGCGTTTTACAATTAAGCTCCGCCTCACGACTTACGACGGGTAAAAAAAATCATCACGATTGGGATAGGGTGGCTGGGCGGAACTTATATTATGCCTTTTTTTTCTTAATATACGTAGTCTCTGTTTTAAGTTTTTGTTGAGAAAAAATTACTACGTATATTAAAAAAAAAAGGCAAAATGTAAGCCCCGCCCGCCCACCCTATCCCAATTCTGATGATTTTTTTTATTTGTCGTGAGCCAAAGGTGGAGCTTAACTGCAAAAATTGACAGATACATTAATTTTTTGAGTCACCCTGTATAAGCAAATCTAAAAAATATGAATGTAATGATAAATTACAAATTACTAATCATAGTTTGCACATTTTAGATATTACATATATATATATATATACATATATATATATATTAGTGTGCTTATGATAACTTTAAAACATCTGCAAGATTTCAAAGCATTCGGTTTTAGAGGTTCGAAGTGAAATTGCAAAATGTTACTCTATTTTATAATTTTGATTTTTTTTACAAAAATCTGGACGTTTCGGGTGAAAACTCAGCACGGAATCATAACTACATGTGTAGGACTATCTTATTTTATACAATTTAGAACCCATTTACTATATGAATTTTGAAGTGACGTCATCACATTATTGGCGGGGATGATTAGACAAATTTTGGGTAACGTTTTACCATCTACATGATATTCCTAATATAAATACAAAATTTGACAATAATCGGCCCAGTACTTTCAGAGATTATTATCTGTCTAATAAAAACCGGGACGGCAGACAGACGGACAGACAGACAGACAGACGGAAACCTGGAGACGAATAGAAATTTTTCAGGTGGCAAAAAAGCTGAAGAGAACGAGAATTAATGAAATGACCATGAAAGAAGCGAGACATAAACAACACGATGCAAAGATGACGTACAATAAGCTGCGTATAAATGGTGAAGAATATAGCATAAATGAAAAATATAGTGAAAGATACCATTGGAACAGGAGTAGAAGAAAGAAAAGCTAAAGTTAGGCTAAAATATTTCCTATTATGGTGATAAAGGATCAAAAAACTAGCAGTGGAGGAAAAAGCAAATGAAGAGGAATTTTCGAAAACGAATGGTAAAAGATATAAACTAGAAGCACAGGCAAAGCAATGGAATAAGAATAAGGAAAAAAAAGAAAATAATGAAAACCTTGAAATAATTTCGAATAAGGGCCAAAGAGAAGGTAACGAAAAAGGGAATCAATCGAAAATCCTTTTTTGGAATGTCGCCGAGCTGAAGAATAAAGAAGATAACTTTTGGGAATATGTGGTGAATTTTGATACCGTAGGTTTATTAGAAACATGGATAAAAGTAAAAGGGTGGGAACAGATGAAAGAGAAAATGCCAAGAGAATTTAATTAGAAATGCCAGGGACAGAAAAATAAAAGAAGGAAAGAGAAACTAAAAGGAGAATAATACTGAGGATAAAATAAGAAAGGGAAGTATTAATGATTAACTGTAGTAAAAAACAGGATTAAAGATATGGATCATCATAATAAACAGAAACAGATGATATATTAGAACGGTATATAGTAAGTATATGACAACAGTGAAAGAAAAAATAAAAGACAAAGTAGAAATAAATAATGACGACAATGCAATTGTAGGCGGAGATTCCAATGCAAGAACAGGACAAAAGGAGGAAGAATAGGAATACAGAAGATGATGGAAAAAGAGGATCCAAAGATAAAAGTGAAAATAAGGAAATAAATCAACTGTTGGAGTTAGTTGAAAAGAGAAAATGGGAGAGCTTGAATGGAAATAAAACTGGCGATGAAGATGGAGAATTAACCTATGTAGTCCTGAGAGGACAATCGATAATAAATTATTCAATAGTGAATAAAGATGCATTGAAAGAAATTTCGCACCTCAAAGTAGGAGAAAAGATAGACTCCGAACATATGCCACTGAAGGTTGAAATAGAAAAATATGACAGAAACAGGAAAAAAGGAGGAGAAGGCGGGAAAATATATATGAATATAATGTGATGACAGGGCTAGTGGGGCACATAAAGAGAACTTATGGACACATACTTTCGTAGAAGCTGCTGATATTCATGAACTGGAACGACTGATAAAAGATGCAGAAATGAAAATAGAAATTAGTGTATGAAGAAGTAGAGGGAGACAAACTGACTGGCAGAATGTCTTAAAAAAGAAACAAGGAAGGCATCAAGAAAATGGAAAAACAAAAGATAACAAGAGCTTTTCAAAGTTAGAGAAACATATAAAGTAAATTTAAAAACATTAAAAATCAATAATGAAGAAAGAAGCAGAAAGTATGAAGAAAATTAAATCGGAGAAAAGAGTATGTAACTACATTAATAAAAATAGGAAGAGGAAAAACATTTCGTGAAAATGCTGGAAGCAAGCAAGAAAAAGATATAGAGTGCAGAAAAACAAGAAACGTCTGAAATAAAAGAAAAGGACATAAACTACAAAGTGAAAACATTGACAGAGAAAGAAGTAAGAAGAGGACTAGTGAAACTAAAAAAGGGAACCACTATGGATCGATGAAAATACCAAAACAGTGAAGTGAAAACATAATACAAAAGAAGAGACAGGGAGAAGACTAAAAACTATAAAAGAGTAAGTTTTGCTAAATACGAGCTACGATTAGTATGCGATGGAATTGAAAGGCTAGAAAAGGAAATAGTGAAAGAACGGTTATTTCCAGACATGCAAGCAGGGTTCAGAGAAGGGAGGGAAAAATGGATAATGTTTATATATTGCACCATGGAATAGGAAAGAAATACACAAGAAAGGAGGTACCGTGTTTGCCTTCTTTGTCCATTTAAAAGCTACATTTAACACTGCAAACAGAGAAAAGATCTGGGAACATTTGAAAAAGAAAAGTTGAACATCTAATGAACAGGATCAAGGAAAAGAACAGAAACACAACGATCAATGTAAGAGTGAATGGAAAAGAAAGGGAAAATTGATACGATAAAGGGGGTAAGACAGGGGTGCCCGCTGAGCCCAAATCTTTTTACGGCTTACATGGGAGATATTAAAGGAATGTTTAGCAAACTACAGATAGCAGAAACGTACTAATTGGAAGAAAGAAGATTTGGGTGTTGGCATATCCATTTCACATTGTGATGATAGCTAAGTTTGAAGAAGGAATGAAAAAAATAAAAATAATAGTGTTACGGAAGAGAGGTAGAAGAAACAAAGAAAGTGTTTGGAAGTGGGAACATAGGGAAATTGAGAAGGTGAGGAAATTTAGATATTTGGGATTCTACTTTAACTCGGTCAACTCAGTGAGCACACATTTAAAGAACGTATGCAAAAGCCTCGTGATGTGGATGGTATGGGGAATTCTGGAAGAGAAAAATTTAGTGATATTTGGAAGGGAGGTATCATGCTGAAGAAAGATAAAAGAAATAAACGTGAATAAAATGTATCAAAAAATTAATGCGCAAAGGCATATTGTCGCTACAATTTCGGGTAAAAATCGCTTATTTTGCTAAATGAAGCTTTTAACATTCGTATGGAGTGGTTCGCGTTTTTGTTAAAATCGGCGAAATTTGTATGCAAATTTAAAATGTAAACAGTTTCCAAATTTCCAAGAAATGCAAATATCGGACAATCTGAACCACATTTAATTGTAAAGTAAACCTAAATATACATAATTATGCAGATAAAAATCAAACCGATGCGCGATGCGACCACGTCGACATTTTCTTTTCACCTTAATTACTCTAGATCTCGAATAAAGATGCACCGCGCTAAAACAAGAAACAAAAAAGCGAGCAATTTTTACAAAAAAAAAGCGAAAGCATGAAATCTGTTCGTTGACAGATGTGCACACGGCAATTACAATGCGCACCATATCATTCATAGTTTACGTGGAAACCACGAAACTAGATTATACCCTTGTCTCACCCCACGCAAACTAGACTTATTAAATAATTATCTCCCTCAATTTCCAGGGTTATTCTTGCGTGGACTTGCTCAACGCAGGCATGCGTGACTCCGGAGTGTACTACTTGCAAATCCGTGGAACGACCTACTGGTTCTTGAAGGTGTTCTGCGAACAAGAAGTCGCTGATGGCGGATGGACGGTAAGTAAACAATTTAGTATGAACAAGAAAACTGGTTAAGTGTAAGATTACGAAGAGATTACGCGCGTGATTTGCGCATCCATAAATAGTAAGAAGCGGTTCTTCGATAATAATTAAATTTCGTGGAGGTATAAATTTGATGTTTAGGAGGTTATATCTGTCTAACAAGATGTGTTACCGCTGGCGGTAATAATAAAAGCCAATTTTTTCCTAATCGTGAGATCTAAAGTGGACTGAAATGAGAGGAGCGTTTTAATTTAATTATGGACTGGAAAATAGAACGTAATTTAGTATAATAAACAATAATAAGCAAAAAAGGTTAACTTCTTGACGTATTATTCGTCTATCTGATCGTGTTTTCAATTAGAATTTGATTGAAGTATCGATAATTGTTGAAAATATTGTGACCTACATTTAATCAGATTTTTGAAAATTGGCCTGTAGATAAAATCTGAATATATTAATTTGCGTAACACTTTCTTATTCCCAGTGGTGCATTATTTATAAGTTTTTTATATAATTCCAAGCACGTTCCACGTCTTTATCTAGCTTCGCTCCGTATCTTGATTTTTGCTTCTTTCTGTTCACGTTTGTTTTATCTTGAAGAAAATTCGTTACAAAACACTTCTTTCATAACACACCACCAGAATCCCGCATCGGTTTCACTCCAAGAAAGGTCACGCGTCGCCTCTACATGACACATTACTTTGCTTCCGTTAATCAAGGAAATAACCTTATTTTTCGTCATCTCTTGTACAAGTACAAGTACATAATACATCTTTATCTCCATGTTCCGATGCTTGTTCAACAGACCGAAATATGTTCCGAGATAGTCTTGTCACATAAATTTTCCGGTTTTGACCATTCCAGTTCGTGTTTTCCTAATTGGGATCTTATGTAAAGTGTTCAAGGAAACTGAAACTGTTACAGATCGCAAATATGTATGCGATGCATTTCAGAATTATGAAACTTTTATGAGGTGCTATTTTATAATTTGTTTCCTCAATATGGTCTAGACGACGACAAAAATCAAAATTAGTATTTTATTTTTTATTAAAAACACATTCTCCTTTAATATGTTCCTCTGGTTTTTGTTTTATTTCTTTTGTCATGCATAATTCATTTTTCTTTTTATTTGAGACTTCTCTTAAGCTTTCACTGATTTATTTTGTGCTTTCTGTCTTAGATTAATTTGTTTATAGACATTATATCCACTACTTCATACTTAAAGCCACTCTCGAGCTCTTAGTTTTCAGATCAGAGCTTGCCGCCAAACTACTTTTTTTGGACTCTCCAATATTGCCAATATTTTTTGTAAATTCCTATATTTTTGATTATAATTTCACTTTTTCTTCGCACTGTTTTACTTCCTTAATTTTTGTTTATTACTATATCCATGTGTCGTTTGACCGTCGTTTGTCCATCCTCTGTCTGGATGTGATAGCTACTCTGTTAGACATCAGATATTTCCATAATTACGAAACTGGTTGCTTTGAAATTTTCGAAATTTACATAAAATGGCAAAACGCTGACTAAAATTTATTTACTCATTTTTCCTACAATTTATTTTATCAAAAAAAAATTATATACAGTGTGTCCCACATAAAACTCCGCGAAATTTTATTTGGGACAGCCTGTATATTGTAATTAATATTGTCATCACCACCGAAAGTTCAGTGAACACTTATGGGCAACTACAAATTTTATTAGTAGTGTATCATAAATCTGATATTGTTTTTGATGCGTTTCTCATCAAGTGATGACATCAGTACAGATATTTATTACAGTATATCATAAATCGGCACATGATCGTTTGTAGGTCACATCAACGCATCAACTCCATGAAAATGACCACTCTCTTTCTCTCACCTTAAATTTTAGGTTGATTTGCTCATTAAAGTCTCATAGTGCATCCATGTTATAGAAAAACCATTACACTATGACACAAGAAGCTACTTTTCGCTGGAATTATAGCTGCAGATAGTAAAAATTGTTTCCCAAAAACGTGTATCAAATTTTAACTTTCAACATTCCTGTATCTCGAAAAATACGCTTTTAAACCTTTTTTTTTATTGTAATAAACCTGCACCCAATTCGATATAAAAACTGCGTCGTAGTCATAATTCTAGCAATTTAAATTGTTGTTAAATTTTACGTAATAGTTTGACACATATTTTATTCTAATTGTCCCAAAGCTTTTTGTCAGTACTTATATTTCACCTTTTTTGGTGTACTGTTTCTTCATTTCACTTGAAACGTGATAGCTAACAGCAACATTCTTAAACTATACCTACTCAAAAATTTGGTGTTGCAGAATCTCAAAAAACATAATAATTCCACAGTGTACAAATTTAAATACTTACAACACGCGAATATTACTAAGTAACAGGTTGAGCAACACCTACTCTATTCTACTTCGAAAACAACAACTGTTTCAGGCTAAACATTTCGTCGATTAGTTGTTTCATTAGGGACACGAAAAGAGGAAAACCTCAGGTCAAAGTTAATTAACGGAATGATTAATTAAATCAGTAATCAGCGAAAATTATTATAATATTAACGACTCTATGAAAGGTGGATGACTTAATTAAAAGGAAAAAATGAAATCATTTAATTAGGACGTATCATTCTATTATTAACGGTTTGACATTTAATGCCTGACATTTTTCACCATAGCCATTATTTTTTTGCTTTTCTCATAGTAATATGCGTTTAATGTGTGTTTCCTCCTTGAATGAAATCATAATTCGTTTGGTAATAGAGAAGACAACCTTGCTGTCATTTCCGTCGAACTGTATTTAAAAAGTTTTAGAACGAGATTTGTTCTTAGAGAAAGCACTTATATGTGGAAGGTGGTTTTAAATATTTGCTTATCAAAATATCTACAACTTGACATTAAAATTAAAAAATTGCCACCTTTTTCAAATAAGGAATTCGGCATTGCAACAATTTTACGCAAGCCGCGTCGCCTAAATTTGACATTTGACGTATTCGTACCACTATACATGTAAAAAAATCCCATCTTTCGTAGTTAATTGTGGAAACCCAACAAACTGGCCTAGACCCCAACAACATTCACTAATGTGTCAGTCCCTCCCTGTTTTTCACCGTCATAAATTCAAAACCTGTCCATAAAATCCGCTTAATAAGAGCAACACTAAACAACTCTTAATCTCACAGGTGCACTGCAAATAACGTCAATTAAATAATATCTATAGACTGAAAAAGAGTCCTGCGACAACTAGCAAAGACTTTCCATACATAATTATCTTTAAATCAACCCAGTAAATCTCTGTCGACTTTGGTCCTTCGCTTTACAAGAAGTTCATCAATGATTCTACTAAATCATTCATAATTTATTTATCAATGTCTTCACTTTTTTTTAATTTGAGTTATTTTAATGGTTGTCACAGGAAGCCACTTGACACATTACTACTTCGTTGTTGACGTCAAAATATTGTCGCCGCTAAGATTACGAGAGTCGCTTCTAACTAGAAGTGACAGTGAAAGTGAATCACAAAAAAATTTAACATAACGTTGTCAAGTTTTTGAAGGCAACAAACTAATAAATGAAGATTTACCATGTTCACGACAAACTTCAAACGTTTGCAAAACTCCAAAACAGTCGGTTTTGTGGTTTCCAAGTTAAGTTGAAAAAGCATATAGAATGTTTTAAGATGACGTCACCTAATTATTGGTTTGGATCATTAAACAAATTTTGTTGACGTATTACCATCTACACCACATTTTCAAAATGTGGGTAAGGTTTGAAAACAATCAGTCCAGCAGATTACCGGAAATGATCTGCTAATATACTCACTGTATTTGGGGTCTATGAATCCATCTTAAGTTTTTACCTTAGCCCTAGTCAGATTTTCGCAAAAAAAAAAACAAAATCGTATAATACGTTTTATATAAATGTTCACCGACCGCTTCTATGTAGTTCAAGTGGTTAAAGCGTGCTAATAACGAGAAGGTCACGGGTTCGATGGGCCACTTTTTTTCTTACCATGTGACTGAGGTTATCTGTTTTTTCTTTCTAAAACGCTGGATTTGTTTGATTGTACCTCAAGAGCAGGGAAATTTTTGTCTATTTACATGAGACCAATTTTTTATTATTATATTTTGAAAAAGAATCGAAGTTAATCAAATATAATGTCAGCAATACGTAACAAGATGTTTATTTCCCGAACCGCCAGAACATAAGCTAAGAAAATATTGTACTAACGTACGTTGGACGAATTTTCATGTATATATACGGTATATATCTCCTAGAATATAAAAAAGTAGGTTCTCCATTTCTGTCTGTTCGTCGTATCTTTTATTAGACAAATAATAATTTCCTAAACTGCTTGACAGATTGTGAAATTTTAGTCGTGTTTTATGAATATCGTGTAAATGGTAAAAAATAATCCACATTTTTTATTCATCCCACCAAAATTATGATGACGTCATCTCTAAATTTTGCTAAATAAATTTGACATAATATGTGAAAAATGTGCATCTGTGCTTGCGATTTATTAATCCAGCCTAATTTCTTTGCGTCAAAAAATGCACAAACTAAATGTTCTTCTAAGTTGTTCAGTTTTTGTCCCGTTAAAATGTAGCATATGAACAAAATCAAACACAAAATTTAGAGGACAAAAATCGTTTAATTCTCCATTTTGGAGAGGTAGACAAAAATGAAAAAAGTTGAGATTAAATGCACTTTAGGTAGCTTGAAAGCCATTTAGTTCTCGACTACACAAAAACAACTGCCTTGCTTTCAAAATGAAATTAAATCAAATGTTCTGAATCAATGCAAATATTGAAATATCACAGTTTAAAAAATAAAAAACGTAAGAGAATGTAATGTAATGAAAGTGCAATTTAAGTTCCTCCTAGTAGTTTGTTCTATGGACAAAAGACCTACCGCATATTATACTTTTTACCTGATTTTCGCAAAACAATCTACCTAACAAGGACGGTAAATTCTTTAATAATATAACACATTTTCAGACAAAAAGTGCTGCATTATATTCATATTGTTACGTTGAACGGGTATTTAAAATCCACGTGGGTAAATTCAACAATTTATTTCTTACTAACTCAAATTTACACGACTAACTGCACAGAGATTATGTACAAAATAATTCCGGTGCAACTTGGCTGGACTCTATCTCGATTCAACTTCTCCCGTTGTCTGGACTAAATTGCCTGCTCCCGAGGTGGTTCCCATTTAAACAGCCGCGCGGTCCTTCTCGAAACGCCTCCGTCACCGCCTCTAGACTTGCCTGGAGCACCCATTGGCGACTTCCGCTTCTAGTCTCTTCTCTGGCCGCCGTCACCGACAATGAGTCATCATCGCCGTACATACTAGAACCCATAGGCGTCGTACCGGGGCGGCGCATGGGTTTATTTCGTATTTTATTTAGCTATATTTTCGTCGTAAGAAACGAAATTAAAATCACTTAAATTACAATTATAGCATGAATCTGAAAAACGAGAATTCCGTTGTATGTAATTTCCTGCATCTATTTCTTATGCCTTTATGTTCTATGGTCGGGTACATATCAAATAATAAATTGTGCATCCCATCAACATCTTCTGTGTAAGTCCGTATTAAGCCCAAAATGTCCTTTTCACCCATGGCTTTATCTATAAATTCTACCGTCTAATAACTTAGGGGATACTGTTCTGTATTGTTCAATAAATTATTATTGGGTAGTCCTAACTCATAAACTTTCCAGAATGCTTTATTTGAAAACTAGGAAACCCAATAAAATAATATTTATTTTCATCTATAACTACAACTTCTCCAGAAGGTCTTTGATAGATGTGAGAGATTTGATTTACAAGTGGTTAGAATTCAGACATTAATTTTGGATCTCTGTATTATTTGTCATTTATATTCATTATCCAAACCCATTTTTTGTGCAATATATTTTGGTTTGTTTTTGTTAATATTATATAGCCATCTTTTCACAACAAGAAACTTAGAACAAGGTTAAAATGGTAAATTCTTGTAGATAAATTGGATTTTGCAATTAAGCCCCGCCCCTCAATCTTACAACGAATGAAAAATTCATCACAATTGATAATAATTGAGATTGGGACGGGTATATGTGGGGCCTAATCTTCGGTTTTATTTTTTTCTTAATATACATGGTATTGTATGTTCAAAGAAACAACCCGATACTGAAAAACATGTTTTTAATTTCTAGTAGAGAAATAAGGTTTTTGCAGTCAAGCTCCGACCCCTTGGCTCACGACCAATAAAAAAAATCATTACAATTGAGATAGGGCGGGTGGGCGGGGCTACATTTGGCTTTTTTTTCCTAATATGTGTAGTCATCTTTTCATAACAATAAGCTTAAAAAATGTTTAACTGGTAAATTTGTATAGCCAAATATCGATTCTGCAATTACGCTCCGCCCCTCGGTCTGACAACGAATGAAAAATTCATCACGATTGAGATCGAGACGGATGGGTGGGGCTTCTCTATTGGTTTTCTTTTATATAATTAATACATTCAGTTTTCTTTCTATAACAGGATTACTTAAGAACATATTTCACATTGTAATTTCTCGTAGAAAAATAAGGATTTTACAATTAAGCTCTGCCCCTCGGCTTACGACGAATAGAAAAAATCATCAAAATTGAGATAGGGTGGGTGGGCGGGACTTATATCTTGCCTTTTTCTCTTAATATGTGTAGTCATCTTTTCATAACAAAAACTTGAAACATGTTTAAAATGGTAAATTTGTATACTTAGAGAAATATCGATTTTGCAATTACGCTCCGCCCCTCGGTTTGACAACGAATGATTTTATTTTTATAATTAATGCATTCAATTTTCTTTGTATAACACGATTACTTAAGAACATATTTCACATGATAATTTCTCGTAGAAAAATAAGGATTTTACAATTAAGCTCCGCCCCTCGGCTTACAACGAGCAGAAAAAATCATCAAAATAATGATAGGGCGGGTGGGCGGGGCCTATATTCTGCCTTTTTTTCTTAATATAGGGAACCATGTTTTCACAAGAACTTAGAACATGGTTAAAATGGTACAATTTTCCACGGAAATATGGATTTTGCAATTATGGGGCAGAGCCTAATTGCAAAATGGATATTTCCTTATACAAATTTTCCATTTTAAATATGATTTAAGTTCAATGTTGTGAAAAAAGTCTACACATATTAAAACAAAGGGGAAGATGTAAGCCCGCCCACCCGCCCCATCTATAGCGTGATGATTTTTTTTATTCGCCGTGTTGTTCAAAGAATACTATGTATATTAAGAAAAAAAGGCAAAATATTAACCCCGCCCACTCACTCCATCTCAATTGTGGTGATTTTTTTTATTCTTAGAAATTGAAAACGTTCAAAACGGTAAATTTTCGTAGGGAAATATGGATTTTGCAACTAGGCTCCGCCCCTAGGTCTGGAAATGAATAAAAAATTCATCACGATTGAGATCGAGATGGATGGGTGGGGCTTCTCTTTTGGTTTTATTTTTTAATTAATACATTTAGTTTTCTTTGTATAACACGATTACTTAAGAACATATTTCACATGGTAAATTCTCGTAGAAAAAAAGTATTTTACAATTCAGTTCCGTCCCTCGGCTTACGACGATAAAAAAATATATCAGAATTAAGATAGGGATAGTGGGCGAGGCTTCTATTTTGCCTTTTTTTTGTCTTCATATGCATAGCCATCTTTTCACAACAAGAAGCATGTTTAAAATGGCACATTTTTGCCAGGAAATATGGATTTTGCAATTATGGAGCGGAGCCTAATTGCAAAATCGATATTTCCTTATACAAATTTTCCATTTTAAACGTGTTTTAAGTTCCATGTTCTGAAAAGAAGTCTGCACATGTTACTACAAAAAGGCAAAAGGTAAGCCCGCCCACCCGCCCTGTCTCAATTGTGATGATTTTTTTTATTCGCCCTGAATCAATGGAACGGAGCTTAACTGCAAAATTATGTCATTACAAAAAATTAAAAACATGTTTTTGAGTATCGTGTTGTTCAAAGAATAGTATGTATATTAAGAAAAAAATACAAAGTATATACTACATTTTACCTTTTTTTTTCTTAATATGTGTAGACTTATTACGACAAGAAGAAGCTCAAAACATGTCTAAAATTGTACATTTTTGTAGTAATCAACTTAAATCCTCCACTTTTTCTTCTACAATCCCTTTAAATACAGCAAAAGTTGAACATCAAAGTTACTATCAACAGTAACTTGGCAGCGGAGTTTATAAATGATGATTTGAAGTTAATAATAACCTTCATGAGACTTGATTGAATTTGTCTTCGCCTCATGAGGCTGTGTTGAATTTGTTCTATAGGTTAATGCCTTAATATTTGTTGTTGTTGTTGTAGTTGTTGTTGGTATTAATTCATATTTCAATCATTCAGATCTTTCATACAAATATTGAATTGCTCACATATCGTCTTGAGTTAATTTATTTACATACAGTATGTCCCCGGACTGAGTTCACAAGAGGAAAAAAGAACTGTATTTTCTATTTTACAAAAAAATGACATAGGAATAACATGTTTTGCTTAACTCAAAACGAATAAATCTGCAATTAAAACTTCAATATTCCTGGTCTGTACTCTTAAAATTATTTTTCATATTTCTAAGTTCTTCGTTACTTTTAGTTTTTTTCGATTTTAAGGACACAGCCTGATAATATTAAAATTTTAATTGCACATTTATTCGTTTTGAATTAAGCAAAAAATGTTATTCCAATGTCATTTTTTTGTATAATAGAAAATTCAGTTTTTTTTTCCTCTTGTGAACTCAATCCGGGGACATACTGTATATCCCTTTTATAATAGGCGTAGGTAGGTAATAGAATTATTATTATTTGCAGAATCTTCAACATCTAATGTACGCCCACTCTCGTGTAATAATACTGATTCACCAAAATACCAATTTTCAAAATTTATATAAATATATTCCTAGACACTCATCATTATTTGGAAAAAAAACATGTGCAAAAACATTTCCTTTTCCCTGGAAACTGCTAGAACGTATTCGTTTTTGACAACGTGTATATTATGATTATGTTGAACAGCGTATTAGAAAATAAAAAAAAATTCGCATCTAAAGAAAGGTTACTTTTAGAAACAAGGTTATAAATTATAAACTACAGGATGTCCCACATAAATAACACCAGAAAACAGACAATTTTCAATTTAATCACGATATCCAATAAGCAAATGAATAGATATTTTATATTTTGCAAAAAACCTTAGATACAATTTTTCTTTGGAAATAGTTTTAAATGAGTTTCATCAAACCTTCTGAAAGAGTTTTTTATTATTAACGTAACTTCACGTGTGGCTGCCAATAAACATATTTTCTAAATATATTTACTTCAAAAAGTAAACTTTTTTGAGTTTAGTCAGACGCTAAGACAAACTTTTATATTATACGGAGAGGCTAATAAAAAGCACCGTCAAAGACAACCACGCAAATTTTTGAAAATTTGTCCATTTCTGAGGTGTAATTCCAGGATTTTTTTTTTTCAACCGAAAGCATTTTAAATCCAACTGGCGGTAATCTGGCAGACGAAAATTTTATCAACGACAAATCTTCAAAAATTCATGACTGCCTTTGATTGTGTTTTATATTTCTTTTAAAACCATGTCAGAATGAATTATCTAACATTTCCAACCACATTTCCAGGTGATCCAGCGTCGAGACGACTTCGGCGATCCCCGGGAAAACTTCAATCGCGACTGGAACGACTACAAGAACGGTTTCGGAGACCCCGCCAAGGAGTTCTGGCTCGGCAACGAAAACATCTACATGCTGACCAACAACGAAGAATACATCCTCCGTGTGGAACTGGAGGATTTCGAAGGGAACAAAAGGTAGACGTGTGTTGCCACATTTCACGATCCAAATTCACAAATATCCAAGGCGAACTGGCATCTTCTTCACTTTCACTGTTTGCGGTTTCTCGCGCCGATTTAATTGATTGAAAGAGGTGTAAAAAATCGTTTGATTTGATTATGTGGATGCGAAGGCGTAATTAAGGCCAGCGGTATTTGTTTAGATGAGATATTATGAAACTGGACGGTCAAATTGTTCCGTCGGAATATCGTGATAGGGGATCCGTAATGGGTTCGTTTGACGTGGAAGTCATTAAGTGAAGATGGATCATGAATCTGGTATTTTGCTGTTATTATTTAATTAAATGTCAAACTGCCCGAAATGGCGGCTGGTAATAATTTTGTTAGAGAGTTACGGAGACGTGATATTTTAAGAGGATCCTTTGAAGAACTCCTACATGAAAAATTATATCCTCGCAAATCTCTCATTCAGGTGTTAGTCAGCGTGTTAAAAAATAACTCGTTAATATTGCTTAAGAAATATTTGTATTGATGTCCTTAATTTTCTGCTGAAAACCTTCCAAATAATACATTAGTAGTTGCATTTTTAAGCACTCTTTTTCGTACTTAATCGCTGTTCTTTTCAAATATTTTCGGCAAGTCATTGCGTTAAGACACCTTATTAGCAGCAAAAATTTCACAATAGTCACAAAAGACCGATGATTTATCGACCGATAAATAAACAATCAATTAAATGAAATTTCACAATTAGGTGACTACAAATAACTCAGAATGGTTTTGAATGTTTGCAGGTACGCTCAATATTCACACTTTAAAATATTCTCCGAGGCCGAATACTATAAACTGGAAATCGATGGTTATGAAGGCAACGCTGGCGACTCTTTGAACGACCCGTGGTACGGAAGCAACAACAGTCCATTCTCAACATATAACAGGTAAAAATGCCAACACACTTTACTTTATTTAGAAAAAAGTAAATGTACTTTTTAACAATTACAAGTCTTAATAGGTACAGGTTGCAGTTATTGTTACAATAGAAAGTGTAACATACTGAAAAACAAGACTATTATACGGTATACGGTGTGCTTTTAATGGCTACATTTCAAAAACAATTTCCTCTGTAAGAAACCGTTTTAGGTAATCCAGCATACAATAATACGTGTATTATTTTTCTTATACGTACTTTATAACTAGGTATATCGTTTTCGCATTATAAGAACAACTCAAATTAATATAATAATGCAGTTATATAATTCTATTTCTATAGAAAAACTTACTTGATAATATAGTTTCTGTTTGATGTCAGTGTCTGATTATGCTATAGTCATATGACATGTAACCGGAAATAATAATATAAGTAAGTTTATGATCGATTTATTGAAAGTCCAGAAAGATAGTATTAAACAAAAGAATAAAAATGACGATTTTGTGCAACACGATTTTTAATAATTTTTATTTAAAAGAGAATATAAAATGGATATGAAACTTAAAACGTTGTTAAAATGGTACATTTTTGCAAGGAAATATGGATTCTACAATTATAGGGCGGATGCAAAATCGATATTTCCATTTTAAACATGTTTTAAGATTTATGTTGTGAAGAGAAGTCTGCACATATTAAAACACGAAGGCAAAATCTATGCCCGCCCACCCGCCCTATCTCCATTGTGATGATTTTTTTTATTCGCTGTGAACCAAGAGGGCGCAGCTTAACTACAAAATACTTTTTTCGTTACAACAAATTAAAAACATGTTTTTGAGTATCGTGTTATCTAAAGAATTTCATGTATATTAAGAAAAAATGGCAAAATATAAACCCCGCCCACCCACCCTGTCTCAATTGTAATGTTTTTTTTTTATTCTTAGAAACTTAAAACAGGCTTAAGATGGTAAATTTTTGTTGGGAAATATAGATTTTGCGATTAGGCTCCGCCCCTAGGTCTGACAACGAATCAAAACTTCATTACTAGATGTTTAGATCAGGGCAGGTATGGGTGGGGCTTAATCTTTGGCTTTAATTTTTTCTTAATATACATAGTATTCTTTGAACAACACGATACTCAAAAACATATTTTTAATTTTTCGTAGAGAAATAAGGATTTTGCAGTTAAGCTCCGCCCTCTTGGCTCACGACGAATAAAAAAATTCAACACAATCAAGATAGGGCGGGTGGGCGGGGCTACATTTTCCTTTTGTTCTTAATATGTGTAGACTTATTTCGACAACAAAGAAACTTAAAATGTGTCTAAAATGGTAAGTAAGTTTTCTAATGATCAACTTAAATTCTCCAATTTTCTTCTACAACTCCTTTAAATACTTACGCCGAAAGTTGAACATCAAAGTTACTATCAACGGCAACTTGGCATTTTTTTTCATCTATTTCAGCTTTGTTTTCCTGTTTTTTCATCTATTAATGTTTTAAGCGAACAGGCTAAAAAAAAAGTCAATTTTTGCCTTTTATTCTTAATATGTGCTCCTCTTTTCATAACAAGAAACTTAAAACATGTTTAAAATGATAAATTTGTATAGGGTAATATCGATTTTGCAGTTACGCTCCGCCCCTCGATCTGACAATGAATTAAAAAAATCATCAGAATTGCGATAGGGCGGGTGGGCGGGGCTATATTTTGCCTTTTTTTTTTTTTTTCTTAATCTACTTAGCCATTTTTTCACAACAAGAAACTTAAAATATGGTTAAAATGGTAGATTTTTGCAAGGAAATATGGATCTTAACAATTATAGGGCGGATGCAAAATCAATATTTCCTTAAACAAATTTTCCATTTTAAACATGTTTTAAGATTTATGTTGTGAAAAGAAGTCTACACATATTAAAACAAGAAGGCAAAATATAAGCCCGCCCACCCGCCCTATGTCCATTGTGATGATTTTTTTTTTCGCTGTGAACCAAGGGGGCGGAGCTTAACTGCAAAATACTTTTTTCTTTACAACAAATTTAAAACAAGTTCTTGAGTATCACGTTGTCCAAAAAATACAATGTATATTAAGAAAAAAAAAGTCAAAGTTTTCTGAAGGATTTAATTTGTATACAAAGAAATGTAAAATTTATAGGTACCATGAAAAACCATCAAATTGTTTTCACTTAAAATATTATATATAGTATTTCCATGTATCTCAGGTGTTTCACGTAAGACTTAAATTATGTACAAAAAATATTCTTCTAACTGTTAGTACTAGGTGGTAGAATTTTGAGGTACCATTTTTGAACTAAGTTGGTACATACAGAACGAGAAAATAAAAACGCACTCCTCCATACCTAATTGACTGTTAAAACTGGAAAAAAATTAATCCAATTTATTAGAGCAGAACTTCCCTCGCCCCTGGAGCAGAGTTCAAAATATCTAGCTCTTCTGAAAATGTATAAAATTTGATTATTTAATTTTTTATGATAGTTATACAGGTAAAAAATCAATATGTTTCAAGTAATTTATTCCATAACAAAAGTTTGTGATGACGTCATCAACATTTCATCAGTTTTAATAGGTGCAATGTAATAGCGTATCCCCAAATTTTCAGGAAACTCGGGTTTGTTCTTGATTTACTAAAATAAATTGCTTAACTCATTAATTTTCTTGGGTCTAAATTAAAAGTGTGGCCCCCAGAATTCACAAACTTTCTATAATAAAAATAAAAATTACGGCGTAAACCCCTGTTTATAAACTACTGCGTTTAAAAATCATAAAGTACGACGTTTAGAATGTAAAAAGTAAATTATTTAGATAGAACTTCCCTCGCCCCTGAAATACAAACGAATAAATACAGATTCTTGGAAATATTATAAAATTTAATTTTGCAAATTATTTTTTTATGACAACTCCTGTAAATTAAAATATATATGAACTGTTAAAATATATGTAAAGGAGCATGATGTACCTATGTTTCAAGTGAGTTTTTTCATAAGAAATTTTGTAACGACGTCATCAACACTTTATCAAGGACACATATATCAATTTGCATAGGGGCAATGTAATACCAATAATACCAGTACTGTATAGTCAAATGTTCAAAAAAACGGGGGTGAGTCGTTCTTAATTTGATCAATAAAGTAAATTGTCTCATTCATTAATTTTTTTAGTCACCCTGTGTATTTCTTAAAAATATGAGTGCATTCATAAACCGCAAGTATAGATTTTTTATTTATTATATATTCGACAAAATTTTGAGATGACGTCATCAATTTTTTGGGAACGGATAAACGGATAAATTTTGATTACTAATTTACAATTCTTATGACAATGTTATAGAATTTTGTTTTTTTTTTTTAATCTGGATGTTTAGGGACACGGAGTCATAAACCACAAGTACAGGAATATCTTATTCTATACAATTTTATAAACATTTACTATTATAAATTTTGGAGATGACGTCATGGCGTTGTTGGTGGGAATGATCACACAAATTTTGGGTACCATCTACACCATATTCCTAACATACATACAAGATTTGACGACAATCGGTCAGTAGTTTCGAGGATTATCTAACTAATAAAAATTGACACAGACGATAGACAGACGGACAGGAAGTGAAAAATCCAAAGCCAAAGTTCTATGGTGCATTAAACAGCATAAACTAAGATATTTTTAACTATACAGAGTGTTCTTTTAAATACCTACCTTGTATATATACTATTACATACGTTGGTTAACCTCTTCATAAGCTTCGCAAACATATTTTGTTTTTACAAGTCTGATCCGACGTTGCCAAATTGTTTAAATTTTCTTGCAATTTAATAAAAAATACAAAGTTTCACAAACAAATCATAAACAAACGTAAACAAAATACGCGCTTTGTTGTGATCTCCACAAAATTGAGTGGCATGTGTATAAAAAAAAATCTAATACACAATATATTTTCCAAATAGGGTTACTTTAGTTTTTCAGATAGAACACCTATATTTTATTCAAAATAAACGGTATAATTAATGAGATATCAAGAAACTACCGCTTATTGACTCATCCTGTACCTATAATTAAAATGATTTATTTAAAAACTTGGAATAAATTTATTTAGACAGACCTTCCCTCGTCATTGAAGCACATGAATCAGTTGTTTAGATAAATTATAAAAGTTTATTCTGCAGATTTTATTTTTAAATGTATTATTTTACTAAACATCATTTATAATTAATTCTAAAAAATAAAAATATAGTACTAAAAGGCAAACAACGTTGTATCTCAAACCACAACATATGTTTTAACAAAGATTTATTTCATCAGCTTATGGATGACTTTATTTTCAAGAGAGGATGAATAAATATCTTACAAAAATTAAAACAAGCTTCGTTTACGCTCCGAAAAAAATCGTAGGGATTACAGATTACACAAAAAAAAACAAAAAAAACTGGTGTTTAGAAACATATAAACAAATGTGCGAACAGAAAAAATTAATGCAAGTTTGCATTTTTGGAATTGAATTTTGGGTTTTACAGAGACCACAAAAAGTCTAAAAATTCTTAGTTCGAAGCTACACAGCTCTGCTTGCAGAAAATTCGAAGAAATTATCATTTATGATAAATAATTGAAAATTACAATTTCGAAAAATATGAAAATTCTATTTCAAAAGAAAATTTTCGATAAAAATAATTTCGATTTTGAAAACTTTGTACTCAAGACCAAAATATGTATTTTGACTTACAGTGAATTCATTCGATTGTTATTTTTCCAGAGACAATGACAGATCGAGTCTCAACTGCGCCTCCATGCTGAAGGGTGGCTGGTGGTGGAAATCCTGCGGCCGAGGCCTCAACGGCCTGTACCTCAACGACCCACAAGACCTTACAGCCCGACAAGGTAACTAAACTCGATCCCTCCCGGAAAGCTACCGCTATCAGATTGTTACGACACGAATTTTTGCAAATTAGAGGCTATAAACAGTTCAATTTCACCGCATATTTTCTTAGATTAAATTACGTGCAACGATCCGTAGTCTTACGCCGGACACAGGGTCATGCTCTGGTGAGCAATGGTCCACACGTTAATTTAAAAACCGTCGGCATAAATTCTTTTACGTAACATCGATAATCTGGATTAATAAGTTACGAAATGCGCGGCGTGACTATCGTTAGTAACAATACGACAAGATAATTGTTACGGAAAAAAAGATAATGGAATAATCATGTTTTAGGCATAGTCTGGTTCAGATGGAGAGGATGGGACTACACGCTGAAGAAGGCCATGATGATGATCAAGCCCAAGCCGGCCGTTACGACCACATGATCATCTAGGGGAGAAAGAGCGAATTAGCCAATTTATAATCATCGGTCCAGTGAATCATTTCCGAAATTTCATCGATCATAATCAATATTTATTTCGACACATCCGACACTTTACCTATTTAAAATTACCTCATAGTATAGTTTTATACAGCTTTTACGTAAATGCAGTGCAATTTGTGTTATTATTAATGCACGAATTCCACTGTGTGCACTCTACATTTGTAATAGTAGGAATACAATTATAGGATAGGATTTGTACATTTGTCACGCCATTCACATCCCGTCAAGTAGCGAATAAGATGAGGTGTTTCATGTATTATAGCGTAGTCAGACTAATACTACACAAAAGGATGCACACAATTTCCTGCACTTGTTTTGCATAAACTAACCATTTTACTAACGTGGAAGAGACGACATTTTTCGGTTGTATCAAATTTCCGCTGATTATAAATTGGGTTGTAATATTCCAAAAAGAACAACGAAACACACATTATTATGTAAACGAGGAAATTTAAGACTGTGTCACTTATCGGAATTATTTTTTTCTCCTCGAAAAAATTCTACCGATAGGTTTGTATTAATGTAAGGTATTTTGTTATGAGGCTAATGGGACATCAAATGCAATGTTCGTATTAGACAGGTTTAAAAAGAGATCCTACGTTAGGTAACGTACCTTTTAGCGTTTTATATGGTTGTTGTAAATATTATAATACATCAGAGTTGTATAAATTAAATATATTTTAATATAATAAATTATGTTAAGTAATATTTTTAAGCATTTTATTTCGTCCTTTACTCCCGTTGCATATTAATTAAAACAAAAACTACCTAATTTCACGCAAATGGGCTAGAGTATCTACTTTACAATGTGAAAGTGTAAAAAAAAGTATGATCAAACTGACTAAAAATGGTGAACCACTTTCGCACAAACTGCACTTTTATGAAAGAAGAAATTATTTAGAAAATTAGATTTACTTAACACTTCCTTGAATACCGGCGTCAGTTTTTCAATGGGAATAAAATTCACTTATCTCCACCAAAAAATCGACAATTTCATTATTAATTTTTATATTCAATAACGTTAAAAGTTTCAGAGAAATTAGATGATGCAAATTTCAGGTAAGTGATAAAATACCTACGTCGAATCATATATCAGTTTTCGTGGTACTTTGTATAGTTAATTTTCAAAAACACAAAAATATTAATAAGTTTACAAAAATCTCATATCTTAGACCCTAAAAACAATTATATAAATATTGTTTAAACTTTTACAAGCAACATGCTTTTGACAACGGAAAATGATTTTAAATGCGTTTTCTGAAAATTTATTTTTGGGTAACTTATAACGAAACAAGTTGTCCACTTATTACAAGAACAAAGGACTTCCTAAACAAGAATATTAACAATACTAATAAATAATAATGCATAACATATTCTTGTCAGGCTTGTCTGAAATTAAAAGTCCACAACTACTTGTGAGAAGGTTTCATCCAGTGAGTTTTTTCCCTGTCCTCCGCGCTGGGTTATAAAGGAAAAATGCATTTCTAACTTTAATCTAACTAAATAAATATGAACATATTGTCTTTGACTGAATATTAAAAATTTAAGTGATTTTCTGCACGCAGAAAAGATAACTTCATTTTCGTATAGCAAATGCAGATAAATGTTGTGTATTAACTTTTGACATTTTTCCGTGAAAAAACAAAGGCAAATATTTATTTGACAGCGTAAATCTGCAAAAAATTCTTTTGAATTTTGATTTAGTATAATATAAAAGCACTCACCGTACTGTATGCAGGCAATTTAAATGGAAATTTACAAGATCATTATTGTATGACGGGATGGAAAGGCCTAGGCTATAAGAAATACACTTGAAATATTATGGAATTAAAGTATAAAAATTACTTACTTAAACTGAGCGGCGATTGCGGAATGAATTTTCACAGTATAAGCAAGGTTTCTGTACATTATAATAAAAGTAATTTGGACTCAACCAAAAAATACATAAAAAAAATAGAAAACTTAAAATGTATTAACTGTATTCTTAACACAAATGTAATTAGCACTAAAACAGAGATCTTTTTTCTTATAAATTAAATTAGTACTTAATTAATTAATTCAAAAATAATTAGCTCACAATGAAATTTAAGAAACTAAATATCGCATTTTAACACACACACTATTTTGAATAGTTTTTGAAATATAACGAAATAAAGAATTAAAAAACGCAATTTTAAAACTATGGAAATGATAGTTCGATTTACTATAAAATTTCAACATATAAATTTCAAATTTTTGCATGATTGGAAGCGGAATGACAAAAACACTATAATAATTTGTGTAAGATTCATGTATCAACTTCTTCAGAAATCGGTAGACTTTTGATAATTGACTATACCGCCGCAATTCGTCCATATAAAATGCATTGCTAACGGATTTTATACGCTGCCAACTCAAAACGGAACGAACAATAGATTCAAAGTATCTAATCTTATGAAAAGACGTGATCTAGGAGGATTTACCGCGTACCAATGGCTCTCAAGGCCTGCTAAAAGCTTCTCACAAGAACAATAGTAATTTGATAAAAAAACGGAAACATACCAAAAAATTATTGTACATTGGTTTAGTAAATCCAACAATAGAAAATGTTATTATGTTATTAATAACAACAAAAACAGATATTAACGATTTCCGTATCATTTTTTTCTCGATGCGTCACGAACGAATCCTAATACGTTATACAGGATTATGCAGGAAGCGAGTGTTAAAAAAAAATTCCTCTATTATCATGGGTTCGTAAACAATAAATATTGTTACGAAATACACCCTTACGCCGCCCCGGTACGATGCCTATGGCCATCGAGAACTTTCTGGTCGCACGCCGGTGATGAGTGATGACTCATCGAACGCGAACACGGCATCCGCATAAAAACAGGTCTGGAACCGGCTACCGGAAGTCTCGATTGCTGGATCTAGAAAAAACCTAGGAGCTGCGTTCGGGATCCGTCTAGATGAATTCAGGGATTTAAATATAGGCCACCGTCGGGAACCATTTTTCATTCAGCTAGTTGAGTCAAGAGCGTCCAGTGAAATTCGTCGGAATAATTTCTGTACATAATCGTTGCAATAGTTAGTCGTGTAAATACGAGTTATTAAGAAATAAATTGTTGAGTTTTACCTACGACGTTATAACAAGTGAATTAAACATACGTTTATTCACGAGAAGATGCTTTCTTCGAGGAAATAACTATGTTTAATTCAAGTGGCCTATATATGTTTTTATTCCATTTTGACGAATTTTATGAATAAAATTTCAAATAACAAATAAAAATTCGAATCATAATAATCTCAGTCAAGAAATCGTGTAGACTGCAAAACTAATTTTCGTGACAATTGGCTTAACAACCAGTTGTTTACATTTTTCTAAACTTATGACACTTACGGCATTTTTGTTTTATGCGAGATCAAAATATCTGGAATTTTGGAAGATAAAGACGAAAACGAAGTTTTTGTACCCTCAGAAGTCCTGGACGAAGATTTACAAACCATCATAAAGTGATACCAGCAAAATCCAAGCATCCATATAAAAAAGAGTATACGAATTTTTGTGAATGGAGAAAGCGAAAGCATACAAAAGGAATAGACGAAAGAATAATTTTGCTTTATATTTTGGAACGATCTAGAAATGCTAAATCTTCGTCACTTTGGTCGTATTGTCCCCACCTGCAGAAAATATTACCAGCGAAGGATAATGTTGGTTAAGCAGGTTTATGACATCGCAATAATTATTTATGAAATTTAAAAATAATTCATTGAATAAATTTGACCAAGTGTCAGCTTTCCTAAAACAACAGCCTATAGGGGACAGGCCAAAGAAATCCAAGGTATTCACACTCGAAGAAGTGGAGAGGTTCTTAGATAATACTTCTGATGATGAATATTTACTACAAAAAGTAATTTTTATCGTGGCAGTTTTTGGAGAATGTAGAATTGGTGAATGGGTAACCATGTCAGTCGATGTTGAGCGTACTTTTAGTCCAAAAAAATATTTACCATCATCAATGGAAGCAACAATCTTTCTGCTATTGACTTTTTTCGTAAGTATAGAATATTACGACCTGGAAGGATTTCACACAAACGGTTGTTCAGCAATTACAAGAACAAAAAACGCAGGTACAACCTGTACGAATGAATACTTTTTCAACAATTCCCAGAAAAATTGCACCATTTCTATTCCGCCAAAATCCATAAGAATATACGTGTCATAGTTTTAGGCGTTCGAGTGCAACTCTACTAGCAGACTCTGGGGCAGATTTAATAGTTGTAGAGATACACGGTGGTTGGCGTTCGAATAGTATTGTGGAAGGATACATTGAGGATTTTCTGAATAATGAAATCGAAATTTTGAGAAGAATCATTGAACAATTATCAACAATCATTAATAATAGATCTGCCTTGAATCCGGCAGCAGGCTCCTCTGTGTCAAATTCCGTGCCAAAACCAAAAACTAGTCATCAAGATAATATTTTGCCCATTCATAGGCAATTTAACATAAATTTTAGCAATTTGAATAATAGTAACTTTTATTTTCACACTACGAAGACAAAAACTAATCAGTGATAATGTGTTCGTAGAAAAAATAAAAATCCGTGCTTCATTGAAATTTTTTAATTCACAAAACGCTTTGATTTCAGTAGTGAATCATGAACTGCTTATGAAGATTACTATGGAGTTAAAAAAATCAATTGAAATTGTCAAAATGAAATAAAAAAAATATATTCGAGGTCCCTTTTCGCCCACTCACCCTGTATAAGCAAAATTTATTTCATGGAGTAAATTTGGCTCCCTTTTTTACTAAAAATTCGACAATGTTCTCGTGACCGTTTTGCGAAGCTACGTAAAGCGATGTCTGACCATTATTCCCACAACGATTTATTTCAGCTCCGGCACTTACAAGGTACTTGACAATTTCTTCGTGGCCATTTTCAGAAGCTACGTAAAGAGGTGTAAAGCCGTCATTATTTCCGCGATTTATTTCAACCTCTGACTGCACCAAGTATTCGACAATTTTCTGGTGGCCGCTTTGACAAGCTACGTAAAGCGATGTCTGACCATCATTAGTACAACGATTGATGTCAGCTCCGAATTTGACTAGGCATTTAACAGTTTCTTCGAAACCATTTTGAGAAGCTGCATAAAGTGGTGTAAAACCGTCGTTATCTGCGCAATTTACTTCAGCCCCTGAGTCCGCCAAGTATTTGACAATGTTTTTGTGGCCGCTTTGACAAGCTGCGTAAAGCGGCGTCTGACCACCATTAATGCAAAGATTGATGGAAGCGCCGGATTTCACTAGGTATTTGACAGTTTCTTCCTGACCATTTTGAGAAACAACGTAAAGTGGTGTAAAACCGTCATTATCCGCTCGATTTACGTCAACCCCTGACTCCAGCAAGTATTCAATTGTTTCCTGACGACCCATAAAGCAAGCTACAAGAAGTGGTGTATAACCATTGACATCAGCGCAATTGAGATCTGCTCCCGATAACCTCAAATATTCGGCAATATTTTTGTGACCGCTGAAACAAGCCGCGAAAAAGGGTGTGCGACTACTGTTCGCGCAATGATTGAGCGCAGCTCCGGAATTCACTAAATACTTGACAATTTCTTCGTAACCATTTTGAGAAGCTACGTAAAGTGGTGTAAAACCGTCGTTATCCGCGCGATTCATTTCGACCCCTGACTCTACCAAATGTTCAACAATTTTCTGGTATCCCATAAAACAAGCCTCTTGAAGTGGTGTACGACCATTAACATCAGGGCAATTGATATCCGCACCAGATAGCTGCAAGTATTCGACAATATTTTTATGGCCGTTGTTACAAGCTGCGTAAATCGGTGTGCGACCATTGTTCGCGTACTGATTGAGCGCAGCTCCGGAATTCACTAGATACTTGACAGTTTCTTCGTGACCATTTTGAGAAGCTACGTAAAGTGGTGTAAAACCCTCGTTATCAGCGCGATTTATTTCAACCCCTGACTGCACCAAGTACTCCACAATTTTCTGGTGGCCGTTAAAGGAAACCGTCCGAAGTGGTGTATAACCATTGACATCCGCACAATTGATATCCGCGCCCGATAGCTGCAAGTATTCGACTATATCTTTGTGGCCATTTTCACAAGCTGTCTGAAGCGGTGTCTGACCGTCACTCATGCAACGATTGATCTCAGCTCCGAATTTCACTAAAGTTTTGACAGTTTTTCCCTGACCATTTTGAGAAGCTACGTAAAGTGGTGTAAAACCAGCGTTATCGGCGCGATTTATTTCAACCCCTGATTCAGCCAAGTATTCAACAGTTTCCTGGTGGCCGCTAAAGGAAGCCGCTAGAAGTGGTGTATAACCATTGACATCAGAACAATTGATATCCGCTCCGGAAAGATGCAAGTGTTCCACAATATCCTTGTAGCCTTTTCGACAAGCTATGTGAAGCGGTGCCCGACCTTTATTAGTGCAACGATTGATTTCAGCTCCAAATTTGACTAAGTATGTCACAATTTCTGCGTGACCAATTTCAGAAACTGCGTAAAGTGGTGTAAAACCATTGACATCAGCACAATTGATATCCGCGCCTGATAGCTGCAAGAATTCGACAATATCTTTGTGGCCATTTTGACAAGCTACGTGAAGCGGTGTTTCACCATCATTCGTGCAACAATTGATCTGAGCTCCGAAATTCACTAAAATTTTGACAGTTTTTGCATGACCATTATGACAAGCTACGTGAAGTGGTGTAAAACCAGCGTTATCAGTACAATTTATTTCAACCCCTGACTCCACTAAATATTTGGCAATTTGCTGGTGGCCCCTAAAGGAAGCCACATGAAGTGGTGTATGACCATTGATATCAGCGCAATTGATATCCGCTCCTGATAGCTGCAAATATTCGACAATATTTCTGTGGTCGCTGTAGCAAGCCACGTAAAGCGCTGTGCTCCCATTGTTCGCACAATGATTGATTGCAGCTCCGGATTTCACTAGGTATTTGACAGTTTCTTCGTGACCATTATGCGAAGCTACGTAAAGAGGTGTAAAACCATCGTTATCCGCGCGATTTATTTCACCTCCTGACTCCACCAAGTATTCGACAGTTTTCTGGTGGCCCCAAAAGGAAGCCGCGTGGAGTGGTGTATGACCATTGATATCAACACAATTGATATCCGCTCCGGATTGCTGCAAGTATTTGACAATATCTTTGTTGCCTTTTTGACAAGCCGCGTGAAGCGGTGCCTGACTCTTATTCGTGCACTGGTTGATGGCAGCTCCCGATTTCACTAGGTATTTGACAGTCTCTTCGTGACCATTTCGAGATGCTACGTAAAGTGGTGTAAAACCCTTGTTATCCGTACGATTTATGTCAACCCCTAACTCCACCAAGTATTCGACAGTTTTCTGATGGCCCCTAAAGGAAGCCGCGTAAAGTGGTGTATAACCATTGACGTCAGCGCAATTGATATCCGTTTCCGAGAACTGCAGGTACTCAGCTATATTTTTGTGGCCGTTTTGACAAGCTGCATAAAATGGTGTCCTACCGTCATTTGTGGAACGATTGATATCAGCTCCGGATTTCACTAGGTATGTTACAGTTTCTTCATGACCATTTTGACAAGCTACGTAAAGGGGTGTAAAACCTTCGTTATCCGCGCAATTTATTTCAACTCCTGACTCCACCAAGTACTCGATAATTTTCTGATGGCCTCTAAAGGAAGCCGCGAGAAGTGGTGTACAACTATTGATATCAGCACAATTGACATCCGCTCCGGATTGCTTCAAGTATTTGACGATACCTTCGTGGCCCTTTTGGCAAGCTGCGTAGAGCGGTGCCTGACCGTTATTCGTGCACTGATTGATAGCAGCTCCGGATTTCACTAGGTATTTGACAGTCTCTTCGTGTCCTCTTAGAGATGCTACGTAAAGTGGTGTAAAACCTTCGTGATCCGCACGATTTATTTCAATTCCTGATTCCACCAAATATTCTATGGTCTTCTGGTAGCCGGCAAAGCAAGCCGTGAGAAATGGTGTATCACCATTGACATCAGCACAATTGATATCCGCTCCTGATTGCTGCAAGTATTTGACAATATCTTTGCGCCCGTTGTGACAAGCTGCATGAAGCGGTGTCCGACCGCTATTCGTGCACTGATTGATGGAAGCTCCCGATTTCACTAGGTATTTGACAGTCTCTTCGTGACCTTTTCGAGATGCTACGTAAAGTGGTGTAAAACCCTCGTTATCCGTACGATTTATATCAACCCCTGAGTCCACCAAGTATTCGACTATCTTCTGATGGCCCATGAAGCAAGCTCCAAGAAGTGGGGTATAACCGTTGACATCAACGCAATCGATATCCGCCCCCGATACGTGTAGGTATTCGATAATATTTTTGTAGCCGCCGTAACAAGCCGCACGAAGCGCACTACTTTCGCCAGACTTGATGGCAGCTCCGGATTTCACTAGGTATTTGACAATGTCTTCGTGACCATTTCGCGATGCTACGTAAAGTGGTGCAAAACCCTTGTTATCCGTACGATTTATATCAACCCCTGAATCCACCAAGTATGCGACTATCTCCAGGTGGCCCATAAAGGAAGCTCCAAGAAGTGGTGTATTACCATTGATATCAGCGCAATTGATATCCGCTCCTGATAGCTGCAAGTATTTGACAATATTCTTGTGGCCTCCGTAACAAGCGGCATAAAGCGGCCTCTGACCATTATTCGCGCAACAATTGATATCAGCTCCGGATTTCACTAGGTATTTGACAATGTCTTCATGACCCCCGAAACAAGCTACATCAAGCGGCGATAGATCCTCCTTAAACGAGCGTTTTAGTTCGGCCCCAGATTTTACTAAATACTCGACAATTTGTCTGTACCCCCCTCTACAAGCTAGAATAAGAGGAGTACAATGATTAGCTTGAGTAACAAAATTAACTTCTTCAAGAGAATTGTCTAATTTTTCATTACTAAATAATTTAACCACGTAATCGTATCCAAGTAATGCGGAATAATACAAAATGTTTATTTTATCGTTAGAAGTATATGACTGAAACAATTTTGAATTTTTTTCAACTTCTAGTAGCAGTTTTAGTTCTGCTGCCAAACTTTCACTTTTTGTAGCATATAACAACGGTGTTATCTCTAGTAACGAATCACTCTCTGAGATATTGTTTTTACCTTGTAAATACATTACTGCTTCAAGAAATTCTGTACTTTCCGGCTTACCGTTAAAGTTGGTATTCTCGCAAACAGTGTATTTGTTGTTTTCGTGGATTATTTGAACACGAGGATGCCTTTGTCCCCATGAACAAATCAAGTGTAAGGCACTCCTTCCACCTCTGTCTTTGCATGTTAATAGTTCATCATGGCAACTTTTAAGTAAGGCAAAATCTTTATACAAAACAGCTACATGAACAGGTGAGTTCTCTGCTAACAACATATCAAAGAAAAATCTTACGTTATTATACTTTTGATCAAAAAATACGTCAGTCGGTATATGTCTAAAATTTTTCGATAGGTATGTGGCAACCAAATATTCCGCAAAGGATCCGTGAAGAAAATTTGGGACGTTATTTTGTAATTCAGTGATGATTCCAACCAACGCATAGTCACTATTTGAAAATTTTCGCACCGATTTTTCACTATTAATATTCAATCGTTCTAATACAAATTCAGGATATATTAATTTTAACGCGAGGACTTCGTAGTGTTTTAACATCTTTTGTTTTTCTTTAAAAACCATAACTGCCAGATGTGGATTCTGAAGATCATAAGCATTTTTAGTTTCGTAGAAGATATTAAATTTTTCCTCGATAAAACTGCGGTATAAGTCAGTTAAAAGAAATTTGCTGTTTATAAGTTCCAAGTATTTTTCGTTGTTTCGGCGAAAAAGTTCTGTGAGCATGAATATCTGAAGCGGAATTCCTAATATGTCAACATGTTCGATAATTACAAATGTAGATATAATTTTCTCAACCGTTGTCTCAATTTCGGCTTCAGAAATGACAGATTTAAGTCGCTCTTTTATGTAATTTTGCTGCTCTTTCTCGCTAAACTGTGTTAAGCCAAGTGAGAGTACGTTGAATTTTTTCTCTAGAAAGTTTTGGAGATGTTGTCTACTGGTTACCCACTGAACGAAACCTTTTTTTGATAGCTGAAGTATTATATCTGAAACAACATCTAAATATTCGTTCAAAATTTCATCTAGGCCGTCCCAAACATACACAATACGGTTTTGTTGTAAACACATTTCGAAAATACATTGGTCTAATTTTTTGAGTGAGGCATATTTTTCCTTAATTATGAATTGTTCAAACAAAGTTAGGTAGTCTGATTCTTGACTTGATTTGAAAGATTTAAAAAATAAATGAACGTCATTGGGATAAATCGTGACCGTCCAATTTTGAGATGGACATTTATTTTTGAAACTTTTCATCAGCTCAGATTTACCCATTCCCGGATCACTAGTTATAAGATTAATGTTATTTTCGAACTGAGAAGACCACAATGCGTTTTCGTGCGTGGTGCTGTCAGATATTTTGTAATTTTCTAAGTCACTCATATCACCCTTACTTTGAATCCATTGCAAATGTCCGTCGTTTGCTACTTTGAAATAGTGAAAACTGCGCATTTCTGCATTATCCGTATATATCTGTTCTAACTCAGATTCGCAAAGTTTATTTTTACTTATGTACATTTTATTACGAAGAAGTGATTTGTCAAAACTGTCATTAAATTTTTTACTTTCATTGCTAACTACATTTTGTGTTATAGATTCATCGTTCCCAGACTGTTCAACATTAATTAGTTTATACTTTTTAAGTTTGTCCTTTACTTTATCAAAATTATCTGCATACTGCAAAATGTTAACAGTGTTTTCGTGAACTTTTTCTAAATAATTAATATTTATTAGATTTTGCGTTAAATGACGTTCGACATAAGGTTCAGAAAGTATTTCTTTCTTTCCATCTATACAGGATGGTTCGTTTAGCATTGCCATCAACTCGGACGTTGTCACACTTTCCAGAATTTTTTCATTTTTTCCAAAAGCTGTCAAGTTAAACTCTTCCTTTCCTTGAATAGAGACGGTAAAATTTTCCACTACTTTTTCGTAAAACTGTCGTTCCGACCTTAGGTTTGACAAATTTTGAAACAAGGAATAGTGCTTCATCCATTCTTCGTTCATTCCGTCACCAAGCACGACGAAATTTTGGTTTTCACACAGTTTGACGGCTTTTTCGAAATGTTTAAACTGACGTATTATTAAAGGGCATTTATTCATCAACCACATCAACTGCGCAAATAATTTTGGGTTTAAATTGTCAACATCGTTGACACCGATGTAGCCAACTGACAGTTGATAATTTATTCGTATTCTGTTTATTTCTTCAATGTCAATATTGTGTTTTCCAACATCACCCCACAACTGTTTAGCATTTTCACGTGAACTCTCATCTACTAGTGTAATAGTGAACATGGATATAGCATCTCGAAGCATTTTCATTTTGTCATTGACTGGACCAACACACAAAGGCTCAATGTGAGGCGACAAATGTTCCAGCGCAATAGCACGCTGCATCCATGTCTTGTTCAATTTTTCTTTGTCCCCTTCTCGAAAATTCCATTCCGATATTATTTTGTAGTATTGATCAAAATCCTTTTCATTTAAAGAATACATTGTTCTAAATTTTTCAGTTGTTGATAGTCTCAGTTCGTTAAAACTTTCTTGATTACTATAAAGATAAAATCTCGAAAAAAATATTTCATAGTCTTGAATTTCAGCCATATGTTCTATAGTCCATTCATCTTCAACGATTTCAAATTTGTACATATAATTTATGTCCTTTGAAATTTTGAAAGTGGTACACAATTTAACAGGTCGAATATAAAACTTTTGTCCTTGAAGCTGAAACTTTGCGTTCTTGGTACCATCAAACGGACGATTGGTAAACATTATAAATTCTTGTACTTCATTCTTCAGTGTTTGGAACGAGTCGAAATATTTCTTCAAACTAAAATCCCCCTTTGCGGATTTCAGATGCTCCGAGGATAATGTTTTTCGATCGCTATGTTTTAATTGCATTGCTTTTACTATAGTATTTTGATCCGACTCAATTTTGATGACTACGTCATCAAATGCGCCGAAGTGGTTGTCGTTCGACGATACGTGGAAGTTGTCTATTTTGTCGTCGTTTAACATTTGTAAAACGATATTGGCTATAGCGATGTTTTCGTAATCTTTGCCTAGGTCAGTTGTCCCCGACCGTTTTTTAAATGTCTGGAAATGTATATATACAATGTGGTTAATAAAATACAAAACTCTTCCTAAATCCTAAAATGATTTTATGTTGTGTGTAAAAACAACATTTTTGTTAAGTAACAAAAAATCTCAAACAACTAAATCTTAAGAGTGTGATAAGAAATAAATAAAACACTCACCTCTGCACTCTCCATTTTTTAGGCCACAATTGCACGAGACAACTTTTATTGAAACTGCACTGAACTAATTGCAATATCGAAATTTAACTGATGTTTATTAAATGTTACTACAAACTCTAACCACTTGTTGTACGATAACACTGATACGTAGGCTTGGCATTACGGAAGTGATGCTCATTGCCGTCCGATTGCCAGCGCTACACCGTCGGGAATTCCCAATAACAAGTACTATTTTTGTTGGGTTTTCCTTAGTTATACGAGTTCTCCTAGATGATAAAATTGCTTTAAAATTAAAAATCACTGCTCAACATCATAATTTTCGTGATGATCTTGATCAGATAAACACTGGACTGAATCAAACGCCACCCAGTTTGAGACTGAACTGTATTTAATGTTTGTTTGATTGATTCCCCATCACTTCGACCTTGCCTAACATTGGTGATAAAATAATAGCTTGTCATTATTTAAAAATAATTTATATTTCCTGCCACAAGAATAACTTTACTGTGAGACGTGCTCTTTCAAATTTAATTTTCCATGCAGTTTTTAGAGATCTTGTTGAAACTCTATTTATTTATGGATTACAAAACATAAAATATTAACTGAATTTATTTCTTACTTCCTAAAAAGTTGATGACATTGTATAAATATTTTTTCTCATACAAACTTTCTTACCCTCTTTCATTTTTTTAGAGATGTGAAAAAAATCTGAAATACGTGTTTCATTATTTGTGTTGAAGAGTATTAATATCAAGTTCTACATAAAACTTTACAATAGAAATTTGTTTTCCATATAAACTTCGCCACCACTTTTCACCCCTTTAGGGGTTGAATCTCGGAAAATGCTTCAATACATGTTTCATTATTTGTATTAAAGAGCATTAATACCGAGTTTTAACTAAACATTACCATACAAATATTTTTTCCATACACACCCCTTTTCACTCCCTTAGGGGTTGAATCTCGGAGAATGGTGAAATACGTGTTTCATTATTTGTATGATGAGCATTAATACCAAGTTTCACGTAAAAATTTGAATTTACAGTAGAAATATTGGTCCTATACAAATTTTACCACCCCTTTTCACCCCCTTAGGAAATGAACTTCGAGAAATGCATCCTTAGACGACGCCTCCAGTATAAAATGAAGTTCCTCTCCAAATTTCAAATTTCTAACATTAGCGGTTTGGGCTGGGCGTTGACAGGTCAGTCAAATGGAAGTATATAACTGGCCCAACTAAAAATAAACAAACAGAACTTGATTATGTGAAAAATTCTCGAACAAGTCGATTTTTGATTCAAGGGGGACGTGTAACGTTACTATTTAGCTTAATAACTACTTTTTTCTCTACTAAGCAAAGTTTTATTGGGTCAAAATCGTTATAATAAATAATAATAAATAAATAAATAAATAATACTAAATAAATCCTAATACTATTGTATAGGACTCAGCATATATTTATTAGATGACGTCATCAAAGTTTCGATCTGAATAGACAGATAATTAATTTTTGTTGGAGATCTACCACGTGCTAAATTGCAAAACAAATGCTTCATAGTTGCTAAAAGAATCGGTGTAAAGTTTTCTTGCACAGTTTAGAATTCTTCAAAAAAACACTGAGGTTCTTTTAATCTCTTTCAAAAACTCAAATGCCCCAAACTTTTTTAAATTCGTTAAAAAATAAATCAATGGGGATTTTAATATTGTAAAAAATCATGATTCAGTGTATTTCGAGGCGAGGATGTTTAAAAAAAAATTAAATTTGATTTTTACAGGTACTTTTTAAAGGGTTGTGTTTATTGCGCAGTTACAAAAAATCGATATTTCTTGGAAAAAATCACGCGGCAAATTTCTTGGAAATCATTCGATTCTCGGAATTCGCCGTCTGAAAAGAAGGCGTCGAGGGAGCCGGGAGGGGGTGTAATCTTGTATTGAAACCAGTCGTTAGTCTTAACGAGGTCACGGAACCGGAAATATGTCTCTTCGATTATTAATTATTATTAATTTAAAAAAATGACATTGATTGGTTTTTTGAAAAAAGTCTTTTGGTTTTTGGTGGATAAAATGTTAAAGTGAAGTTTAAGCGGTTTTTGAAAAACATTTTTGTGATTTTTGGTCGATAAATTGTTAGTGGAGTTGGTGGTAAGTTTCCACTGCATGTCTTTAATTCCGTTTTGTAAAATTACTTCAGGAACAACTAAAAATCGTTCTAAAGTTATGTAGACAGAACTTCCTTCGTCCCTGAACCACAGGCAAGCAAAATGCAGCATCTTCGAAAAATTATAAAATTTAATTTTACAAATTTTACGAATTTAATTTATTTGATAACACCTACAAGCTAAAATAACGATCACTGCGAACTGTTAAAGTAGGTAAAGAAGCATGTTATGCGGAGGTTTGAAGTGGTTTTTTTCCATCGTAACATTTTATGATGACGTCATCAATAATTTAATTGCCCCGTTCACACATTTCTTTGAGAAAATCTGTATAAGTAATTTTAGAAAATTGAACAAAAGTTGTTTGGACAGAACTTCCATCGCTCCTGAATTAAAATGAAACATCTCCAGCATTTTCAGGTTGAGTTTTAAATTTAATAAATTTAATTTTTTTGATGACTCCTATAAGTTAAAGATAACTGTGGACTATTTTTAATGGGATTTATTTTGCACATTTTTATTAGATAACGCCATCAAAGTTTTGATGTGAATGGACAGATGATAATTAATTTTTGTTGGAGATCTATCAAGCTGATAATAACCTCAAAACGCGTGCTAAATTTCAAAGCGATTGCCTTAATATCTTAGTTGTTAAAAGAATCTATGTAAAGTTTTGTTGCACAGTTTATAATTGTTCAAAAAAACACTGGGGTTCTCTTAACCTCTTTCAAAAACTCAAATTCCCCGACACTCCTTCAAATTCGTTTAAAAATATGTCACTAGGGATTTTAAAATAATTAGTAAAAAATCAGAATTCTCTGTATTTCGAGGCGAGAAAATTAAAAAAAAATTAAATTTGAACATTACAGGTACCTTTAAAAGGGTTGTGTTTATTGCGCAACTATAAATAAAAATCGCCCGGCAAATTTCTTGGAAATTATTCGATTATTTGAATTCGCCGGTTGAAAAGAAGGCGTCGAGTGAGCTGGGAGGGGGTGTCATCTTGTACTGAAACTTGTCTTTATAACAAGTTTACGGAACCGGAAATATGTCTCTTCGATTATTAATTATTATTAATATTTAAAGATTAACGTTGCGTGTATTTCTGAAAAAAATTTTTTTGTTTTTGTTGGATAATATATTAAGGTGAAGTTGAGCTACCTATCAGGCGCGTCCCCAGGGTTGCGGATAGGGGGAGACCGGCATTGTCTGGGGAAGGGAGGTCTGGGGAGGGCGGATATGCCCCCCGGAACTAAACACTCCTGGGGGTGGTGGAAGTCCGACCTGGATTTTTTTTTTTTTTTCCCCTTCTCCAGATATGTAGGTTAGGGCTGAGGCTCGTCTTGCCTGGACATGCCTTGGTGGTTGTCGGCTTAGACGGCCGCGAAGGCGGTTCAGTAGAGGAGGGCTGGAAATAAACGTGCCCCCCCGGGATTAAACCCCTGGTGTGGGGTCGTCAAAACAGCCCCGCGGACAAGCTCCCGCGTGTTTGTGCCGTGCGTGGAGACCCGTAAGGTGGGATGAAGGAATCCTGGAGGTTGAGCCCCCCTTGGTGCAGTGTGTCACCAAGGCTGGGCAACACGCCTCTTTGGCCTGGATTTCCACCAAAACGGGAGGTCGAGACTAACCCATCTCAGATCAATCGGCTGTGTCGTCGGGTCAGACCGCCGACAGGGTGAGTCCTTGGGGGAAGTGTAGTCTGAGCACGAGTAAGCTCACGAGTTGAGGCTGCGTACTGCAGGATGAGCTTCCCTGGGGGCTATATCCTTCTGCTAGCCCTGACGTCGAAGTTCGACGTCCCCTTGTTGGACTCCGTGGTGGGTGGGGACGCAGGAGGACGAAATCTAAATCCAGATCATGGAAAATAAAAATAATAAAAAAACCACTGAGGAAGTGCCTTCGGGTGCACCTCAAACAGAAAACCCGGCCAATGTGGGGTCGCAGCCTCCTAGGAGGAAGCGAATCTGCGGGGCTGAGGTAAAAAGGCGGAGGAAGGCTCGTTTGCAGGCGGAGGCGGCGAATACCGACCCGCCGAAACCGGGTCCATCCTCCTCCGGGATAAACCCCAAGGGTAAAGGGCAGGCTACGATAGCCAACCCTAAACAACCTGCGGGGAAAAAGACCTCAGGGTCAAAGAAGAGAGTGAGGTCTTCAACCTCCACACCTCCGGCAGCTGAAAAGCAAAAGAGGATGAGGAGGCAGGAGACTACCTCTAGAGAACAGAGCTACAGGGAGGCGGCTGCAAATCATCTCCGTGTAGCTGTGATTGATGTGCAGCATCCACTTGGTAAGCTGACTGCTGACCAGGTGGAGATAGTACAAAAGAGCGTGATGGGAGCGCTGGACAGGCAACTTGACCAGTGCTTGGCATCGGGTAGACAAGCAGCCACTTTCAGGGCCATGAAGTACACAGGGGAAATCCTAAGGATAACCTGTGAAGACGAGTTGTCCCTGAAATGGCTACAACAAACAGTGCGCTCCCTTACACCCTTGTGGGAGGGCGCACAACTTAACGTGATCCCCTTGGCTGAGCTACCAAGGCTGGTGAGGGCGACCCTGTGGATACCGGGACCACCGGTGGACGCAGGAGTCGTACTTCGCCGCCTGGAGGGTCAGAACCAATGGGCCCACGTCAAAAAATGGCTTCTTTTCCATCGCGAGGCCAAACCCGAGGCTGCCTCTCCAGGCAACCTCTTTGTGTTTGGTCTTGGGATGGAAGAGGCCAAGATAATCAGGGAGAGAGAGGGCAGAATCAATTATATGCTGTCCTCTTTCAACCTGAAACTCAAGGAGAACGAGGCGTCGGCTCAGGAAGGGCGGACCCCTATGGAAGAGGTAGAAACCCCAGGGGGTGAAGCCTCTACCAGTGGGGGCGGGCCCGCCTGAGACATGTGCCTCGTGTCTCCTAGGACAATTATGGGATTTTTTGGTTGCAGAGATGGCGCTGCAGCAGATAAATTTCATTCAGATTAACCTGCAGCATTGTCGCATGGCG